CACACACACACACACACACACACACACACACATTCCATACACAGTCTCCCAAAGTGAGAAATTGGGCAAAGCATTATCCAAAAGCAAGATGTAAATGGATAAAAAGATGTGGCACGTTGCCATAATCCCCAACAAGACATCAGTCTCCCATGGGCAAGAACAAGCTCTGGGAACATCTGAATGAAATGACAGAGAAATAGAGGAATTAGTAGATGAATGAGAGAAAGAGGGAATGAATGGTAAATCTTGGCTAAACTAATGGACTTGGAAAGACAGCCTTCTTTCACCTTCGTCCTAAAACTATAAATCTTGAAGAGGTGTTTGGTGTGAATGTGAGCAAGTTGAATCAACGGCTCTGGTGTGGTGATGCATGTGCACATACATTATGATTTCTGTAGAAATGTGTACAGTACATCACCTGCAGTGTAAAAAATATGTATATATCTGTGGATGTGTGTGACACTCTTCTCACTGCTGAGTTACAGTTGCTGTCGCCAGCATGACCTCTCTCTCAGCCTCTAATGTCTTCAGCAGCCTTGTCCTCCTCTCCTTGCCTTGCTCTCCCTTTTTTTCTCTCACAGTCCCTCTATGTCTGTATTGGCACTCACTCCATTAAATCGACATACTGAGTAAGAATCAGTTGCTTAGGTTTAATCATTTTTGTTTCATAAATATTGCACATGCTTTTTTACACTGTTCTTTGTATATTTAATATTTCCTACCTCAGTATGTATGAGAAGATTTTAATGTTTTTCACCATAAATATTGCACATCCTTCATTAAAAACTGCCTTTTCCTCTACACACCCTTTTGGGCACTGTTCTTGCACATTCAATATTTGTCACCTCAGTATGTATGAGTACATGTAAGTAAAGAGTGTATTCTGTAAATAGGTAATAACTGCAGCGGGTAGAGACACAATGAAGTCAGAATTTCATTGCACTGATCATTTGTTTATTGCTGCATATGACAATAAAGCCTCTGGATCTTTAAATAACTTACCCCTGACAATAAACATGATAATAGAATATTTAACTAAAATCAAACTAGCATTTAGAACATGAATTGGTTCCAGTTCATACAGAAGCAAGTGTGTGTTATTTTGCAAGAATTAGGATCTTGTGCTTTGATTTACCTTTAATGTTCTGAGAAACATTCTGCAGTGAGTGACTTTGGAAGTGGGCTATAACCTGCCTGTCCAATTAGATGTTAAAACCAGTATTGGGATTTTCTGTGCTTTTTCAAAAAATATCTATAACTTTTGATTGGGTAGGCAAGACAAAAGTGGCTGGAAAACTTTAAAAATTAAAGCAGACTTAAAAAAAATAAAATAAAATAGAAACATTGATAGGCTCCTGTTGTTTCCGTTTTAACTTGATCAATTCATATGCAAGTAATACGAGGAATGAACCACTTCAGTCACTGTCCTGAGAGGTGAAGACCAGCTCAGGGAGGACTGTGATAGATGGAGGAACAGAATACAAAAAGAATGTGGGAGGAAACAAGTCATGACATTGACCTGATGTGGCCATAAAACAGATGAACTAAACTTCTGTCCCACACACATGATAATGGTACAATACAGGACAGACTGACTCACATGTTCACAGAGATTTCATGTGAAATAGGCTTGCACATCAATCATTAGACTTTTAGGACAGAGGAGAACAGCACAAATGTAGCTGCGCTGCTGTCAGTTTATTTAAGGAGCAGCAGAAATAAGGGCTAGATTTGTATTACAACATAGCAATCGTTTGCACAGTGAATGTGATATTGCATTTACACTGCCAGGTATATATCATTACCTTATGCAACAACCATTGAGGGTTGCAACAGTCCTCTTACTAAAAGTTTTTAAATATTAAAATGTAATACTAGTATATAACTATGCAAAAACACAACAAAGTGTGTTTCAGCTTAGAAAATTTTTATCTAGATATCAAACATGTAGGTCATTTGAGGTGTTTGTATGGAGTGATGAGCATGATAAACGTGACGAATGTGTTGTACATGTCAATGTGAGATGATACAGCATACCTTGTACCGCATCTTGGGGCAGGAGTGAATGTAAAAGCCCAGGTAGTAGTAGGACAGCTTGGGGGACTGTTTCTGCAGCTGCCTGGTGAAAGCGATCTCCCTGTGGCAGAAAACATACAAACACACCTTTTCTTAGAGGTACTGTAGGAGCTTTCGAGCTTCCAGAAACAGCACATATGTGTGCATTTTGGTGTTACTGCTTCTTTAACTGATGGCTCACTCCAGCACAACACTCTCTTTTTCAGTCAATCCTTGGTGGAGATGGTGCACTGCAGTGCACTGTGTGTCAAATTTCACATGACACATGAGAAAGCTTGCAATTTACCCAGCAGTTATATGAATGATATCATGTACAGTACAATTTATTTTAGTAATTAAAATGAAGGTTTATGCATGCTAATGATAAATGAGTAGTTTGCATTAAGATTTTCAAATATGCGCATGGAGTTATGACAGTCTGAGCTCCATCACTGGGACAACCAACTGATAATACCAGAATTGGTGAGTAGAATGGAGGTGATTTTCATTGCTTAAAACAACAAGAGAGGAAAATTAAAGGGCTCCTAAAAACACATGCATTCAAATTACAAAACCTAAGTGTATACCAACGAACATAAAATGTGTTTTTCTTAGAGGCTAGTTTATCAGCAGCATATAAATGAGGGCATTAAGAAATAAAATTGGTACTAGCAGCTCTGAGTAGAGCAGTGCCCAATGCTGAGGAAGTAAACACCCACACTCAAAAAGGCAGCTTTTCTTGGTCTCATGTCATTACACAAAAACAACTGCCTTCTCTCTATTGGCATTGAGCCCTCAGGCAAAAAGAAGGTGGTGAAAAAGGAGGGAGAGAGCGTGTAAAATAAAGATTTAGAACTTGGAGGATTTATACACCTTCTTCAAATACAGTAAATGTCTTGCCTGCTTTATTTTTCCCCAATAGTTTCTTCCTTAATTGCATCCTTTTACTGAAAGCCTATTTTCCCCTTTCCTTCTGTCGTTTCCTTCGCTATTCCACAACTAAATTCCAGCTCCTCTTTTTTCCTCCCTTTTTGTTTCAGTCTTCCTTCCACCACTCTGTGTTTCACCCGCTTCAATGAAGGGGGAGAATTCCCTTTCTTACAATACTTAACAGACAGAGAAAGAGGCCTTAAAATAAAATAGATGCACTGAAAAATAAGACATGGGACAAAGCAAGCCAATCGAGGGAGGGGGAGAAACAGGGAGAGAGAGAGCAGGAGGGGAATATAAAAGAGGAGGGTCAAGAAAGAGAAAAGGATGGAGAAGAGAGGCAGCTAGAGCGAGGTGCTAGAAGGTCACCCGCTTGCTGCCAGGTTCCTGGGTTCCCATCCCCTCACCACAAAAGGGCCCGGCAGGCCTGAATTGGGGGAGGGGGGTCAAGAGAGGCGAGGGGCCCATTCACAAAAAGCCATGCTCCCCCTTCACTTGAGGCCTTCACACCCCCACCTCCACCCCCATGGCAGCAGCTTGAGTCTGCCATTATCCCCTCTTCAACCATCTGACACTCCAGCACAAGCCAATTATCAAGCCCTCTGCTCCTGCACAGCTTCCCTCATACTGATGTGCACGCACA